TACTTATTCAGTGAAAATATTATTTTCTGCAATACCTTGTTCGTAAACTATACCCATGAAACTTTATATATCCTGCATTGATTTGCAGAAAGGCGGCAAGTTGCAACAATAATGGCGCCAACTCAGCTCGATGGTCGACGCTCTGGGCGTCCTAGTACCAAGCAAATCACGTGATGGCACAAGAAGCACAAAAACCTCTACCATACCTACGAGAAAAAGCTTCATATAATCAACTGGCACAAAGAACATTCAATGGAATCCGCCATCGACACGTTCTTCCCCGGTGTCGCTGGAGCAAAGCGCACTACTGTCTGGAAGCAGATCCTGCGCTGGGAATCACAACGGGACCACATCACTATGGCTTGTTGTAAGGCTCGAACGCGGGACATGCGTACACTACGCAAGCAAGGCGTATCTACAACGCTTACCCGTGTTGCACAGGAAAACATTGCTCAATGGGTATCCGAACTTCGTAAAGATGGCATACCTGTATCGAAAGCTCTCCTTGCGTGTAAGGCAATGGATGTGGCGTTAGAACAAGGCTTAGCAGCGAACCAGTTCAAGTCAAGTCCATCGTGGATGAAAGGGTTCATGAAACGATGGGGACTTGCGATCCGAGCGAAGACTCGATCTGGCCAAGCGAACTTTGCTGATGATGGAGAGAAAGCACTTGCCGAGTTCAAGGCGTCTATTTGCAAGGACAATCGCATAATCGGAGTATTCAACGCAGATCAAACAGGTATCAACTACGAGTGCCTTCCAAAGCAAACAATGGACAACAAAGGTGCCAAGTTGACTGTGTGGATCAACGCGTCTGGTCACGACAAGGATCGGGTGACTGCTATGCTTCTGGCCGATACCAAGGGAACGAAGTATCCTCTCTTTTTGGTCCTGAAGAGTAAAGCGTCAACAATCAAGCCAGTTGTTCAAGAAAAGCTTACCCAACGTCACGGTTTTGGGCGTCAAGTTTGGAAGGAAATCGAAGACCTCGAAGCCAACTTCCCCCTCCAAATCTACGGTAACCCTTCAGCCTGGTACAATGCCAGTATTTCCTTGCGCTTCCTTGACTTCCACTTTGGCCATCGACGCGGCCAAGCCGTGGACCCAGTCTTGCTCCTATGGGATGACTTTAGCGCTCACTTCATTGATGAAGTTGTCGAACGAGCGAGGTACCTACAAGTGCACCTCTACCGTGTGGCGCCAACTTTCACATGGATATGCCAGCCTGCCGACGTTGCTTGGATGAAGCCTATCAAAGCATCAATACGACGTAAATGGGTTGACTACCTACGACGATCAATTGCGCTTAGCGGACGAGGCGGAGGCACGGCGTTTCGGCTGAAGTGTCCTGAGCTCTGGGATATCGTCGAATGGATCTCTGATGTCTGGGACGAAGTGCCTACGACAATAATTGTGAAAGGATTTGAAAAGTGTCTAATTGTTGACCCTGGTACCGCTCTTGTAGACCATGCCCTACAGTACCCCGAGGACTCTGGTGGAGATGACATCTTGCAGGATCTCTGCGACTCTGGTGTTTTCGAGGCTTTGGATCCAGAAGACGATGTTTCCCTTACGTTGGCGGAGTGCATTGACTGAAGTAGTTAGGTCGACGAAATGTAGTTGAGAAACTGAATACTAGTTAGGTTTTCATACCATGTGTCCTTGTGATCTGCATTTTTAAGACCCCTCCCACCAAGTACCATGAGTACAGGGACTCCTCCGAATACCAAGGGAACAAGACAGTGCAGGTATCCGGCCTAGAAATATTGATGGGCTGGGCCGAGGCGGTCCCACCAACTACTAGGAGCGCGAGCCTTTGGACTCTGCCTTGCGTAACTCCCCGAAATCGGTACAGTAATGCCAATTCGTACTCGGCAGGAAAAGTCACAAGCCGATATGTCCGGATGTTTATCCGGATTCTAGGTAAGTGGATAAATATTGTGGGGAAAAAATGATTATGATATATTCAGTGCTAAAGAATCTCCACTCTATCCCATCTATTCCGAGTGTTTATGCAGTTGAACTTTAGGGCTCCTCTGGATACTATGTCATAAAATTATGCCATAAATGGGTTTTGAGATTTTGCACTTTTTGACCAAAATACCAAAAAACAATGTTTGAGAAACCGTCTGGATCCACATGATGAAACTGTCATCTCGCTGAAATTTGATTGCGCGCGAAAGTTACACGCAGCTCGGATGAAGCTACAACTATGTGTGCTCCGACAGCTCTTTCGGCGTCGTCGAAGACGCTGTCTTGACTGGGGCCATGTGGGTGTCTGAAATGCTCGAAGGCATCGAGATGCCTCCATCGAAACCTTTCGGCGATTTGCGCGGCACATGACGAGTCTTGATTTGAGCTGTTGCATCGTGAACGGTGGGCCTTGAGGCTGGCTATGGTTGATCACGCCTCCTTCTTGTATCCATTGCGCGCACGTTTCCCAACCACGGCCGCTTGGTACACAAGCTCCTTGAGCCAGGAGATGTCGAGGTCGTCCGTCCAAGTCCCATGATTCACTCCTGAGGTTGACAGCGATCTTTCGAAATGCGCGGTTTTCGATGAAACTGGTTTGATAGACTGTCTTTCGGGGTTTCGGGGTTTATGCCATAGTTTCGTCCTTTTTGGCCTTCAATTTTGGAATAAAAGTATTGTATTTTGTGGTATCCAGACGAAAAAAATTGACGACTTTTCATTTCTACATTTTATGGAGAAATTCGCTATTTTATGACATAAAATGTGGCATCCAGAGGAGCCCCTAGCAATACATTTCCTGTTTGTATCTATCTATAGCTAAGGTTGTGCTATTCTACAGGTTAAGTCTAAGCACGTAACTTTATAAAATGATGCCTTGTAGAATCTAATAATCTATTTATGATCTGAATATGAATATTTGGAGGACACTGTCATTTTGAATAATGTGACATGTGATATGTCTTCGCAACTGACATGTCAACTAAAGTACTATTAATACCTCTAGTCGGAAATAAACCCGCCACAAAGGGAAAACTTGTATACTTTGATAAATATCTTGAATTCGGCAGATCTGAAAATACATGCTTAAAGCCTGCAATCCGGCGAATCTGATTGGCTTGGCGAGACAAAATAAAACGTGATTTCGCACGCATTGTGCTTTGCACCTTTTTTGGCAATTCCAGGGTTAAATTCATTGTTTAAAATTTCTCAGGCTTCAATAACGTCTAAAGTAACTTGAATAACGGTTGGGTGCGTTGTTTAAAGTTACTTCATTTAATGTGATGATCGGTTGGTTGAAGGTGGTTGTTTTACAGGCGTTTCGTAAAACAAGTTGTTTGCCGTTTTCATTCTGGCAAACAACTTGTATTACGTCAACACGTCAAGATGCTTGCTGCAATGATACTGAACCTGCTATGACCACATACAAACATTAACTACTCCGAGTAATTTATATCGTTAGGGATATGCCTACCTACCATATACAGTGAACCGGGGAGAAACTGGACATGGTGTGGATTACAATTCCTGTTTTAGTCTATGGACCAAAATATAATAAACTCAAAAATCGAGAAATGTCTGATTGGCTAAAATTCATGTAACGTTACAAGGGAAACTTGTTGCATATTTGTGAAACCTTAGATCAGCCGCCGAAAATAGCATACAAACAATGAAGTCCTTCACACACACAATTACTAGACATACTACGTAGTAATTATACTAAAACTATTTCCGGTCGAGGAATGGCTTTTACAAAGGACTTCTTGATCGCGTCGGCAGAAATCTTATCCCAGGCTTTGATCGATCGCTTGATCATGGCCAAGCGCTTTTTACCTGCACTGACCACGGGGATTTCTTCGAGCCACAAGGTGCGGAGCATTTTCTTGAATGGACCCATGACGCCAACCTCTAACGGTTGACACACGCTGGTGCAGTTGGGAGGGAGCGGCTCTAGCACACTAAACAAGCCACGAACAACAGACTATGACGACTCTTGGGTAACGTAAGCGTCGAAATTGTCCACCAATATGACGGTGGGTCCATGTATTTCATACTGCAGCATGTCAAGATACGTTCGCCACACACGACCATCCATCCACCCTAACTTTTGGACTTCGTAGTTGTTTCCGCTGGGATACGTTGCAAGCTCGTGCGAGTCAATCGGGCCACCAAGAGTACCATACACAATGTAACTTCGACCCTACACGAAAATTACCAAACAATATCACATGGGTAGCGTACCGTCGGCGCGGCAGTAGAACATAGCAGTGAGGCGGTCAGAATGTTTCTGCGCCACATCGACCTTGGATGACTTGCCGACTTCTACCCAAATCTTGCCGGGTGGCATGTCGTAGTAAACGGCCGTCTCATCCGCGTTGATAATGTCGCGGATATTGTGGTCGTTGTACTTGTTCCAAAACGTCGCCGCAAAGTCATTCCGGATGAGCGCCATGTCGAGTTCTGGGAGCTTCGTGTAGCATGGTACGCGTTGCGAAAAGCGGTGGTGTACGGCAAACGACTGGCACAAGCGCAGGAGAGACTTGTAGGGGTTCACTTTACCGTCGACATACGTATCCAGCCAATCCTTGAGGTAGGTCTTCATGAAGTTGATCATGTGCATCGAGGTAAGAATGTGCTCATCGCGACGCACAGTCTTCATGAACGTGAGCAAGTCGTGCTTGAAAGGGATCATGTCCTTGGCGCTTTGTCGGCCGCTTCGCGTGCATGTAGCAGCCATAAGCGTCGTATGGAGTGTCATCCAGGTGGTCCGTGTGTCCGTGGAATGCCATTCTCCATACAAAACTTACGGCTGCTGACACCAAGCCCATCGAATTGAGCAAGGAGCGCTTGTTTTCTTGCCAGGGTGTACGATTGCTGGTGCCGGCGTGGTGGCGTGAGATCGGCTGCAAGGAAGGTTGAAAGTGATGTCTTTGAGATGGTGAGCGTGGTTGATTTTGAAATGTCCAATCGCAGCCATCTTAGTCAAAGAAATCTGATTGGCTGACATGTTGCATATATTCAGTTTAACGATGAGTGTATTTTAAATATAAATACATCACATTTTAGAAGTGGTCCAGTATATTGGGGGGTCCAGCTTCTCCCCGGTTCGCTGTATCTCCTGCATGGGACAAAGCCCACGTGGAAGCATAAGCACCCCTTGCTTTTCACGCAACCATCGATCACCACCACGTTATTTACTGCACTGTGTACTTTTGAGTCACGACCACTTTGCTGCTTTCCCATCTGATCTCGTGGATTGGGACCCACAAATCATCTCCTCAACACCAACGGCTTCTCCAACAGCCACCGGTACATCCTCCAGAAACTCTCAAGCACACACGACGTCACCTTCGTCCAAGAAACGCGTTTCCGCGCGCCGAGTTTGCAAGACAAAGTGTCCTACCATTGGCAACGTCTCACGAACCACGACGGGGTTGTGTTCTTTGAGGCCCCACTCTACCCTTTGGAGCCCACATCACCCGCCACGGGCGGCTTGGCAACTCTCCTCCACCCCCACTCACCCCTGAAGAACGCCGTCGACATTCCACACGACAATCCGATTCTTCGCGGACGATATCTGCAAGTGCGTTGTGTTCTTGGCCCTGCCACGATTGTTCTCCACAACGTGTACGCGCCAATTTCATGGTCCGAGCGAGCGCGCTTCTTCGACGAACTGCCACGCGACTTCCCCCCACATTTCCTCCACATTGTGGGAGGCGACTTCAACTGCACGCTCAACAAGGATTTGGACTCGCTCAACCCCAGCGCCGCCACCATGGCCGGAACAGACGCCTTGTTGACCTGGATGCGAGACTTGTCCATCGTGGACCTGTTTCGCCAGCAAAATCCACTGCGGAAGACTTTTACCAGTCCCAAGCTCATCAACCGCCTGGACTACATCTTCTGCTCTTCGAGTTTGGCAAGGTTGGCGCATTGGAAAGCCGCGCACTTGCCGCATATCCCTCACGCCGATCACGTGGCTTGTCGAATCATTGCCCAACGACAGACTACGCGACATGGCTCCGGTTCCTGGAAGGCCCCGCCGTGGCTGCTGCGACTTCCTCGAGCCGCAACTATCATTCATGGTTGCTTGGACCGCTTCCTCGCCAAGTCCAATGGTTTCCACAATGTCGGCAAAGCCTACGACATCTTAGTCACCGACATCCGGCAGCAACTCAAACTGTTTCACGACGAGCAACTCGACAAGCAGCGTTTGCCGTTGAAGAAATTGGCACTTGAAATCGCGGCCTTGCTCCAAGTTCCCAACATGCGGCAAGACCCGGTTTTGGTGGATCGCGTTCGGGACCTCCAGCAGCAAATCCGTCACCTGCACGATCAGCAAAAGAAGTTCCTCCAAGAACAAGCGTTCCAGCTACACTTGTACAAGGCGGAAAGGTCTTCGCGCTTTCACTTCTCGTCACCAATTCCAACTCCACTGCGGAAGACGGTCTTCAAAGAACTGGAAGACGCCAACGGAAACCTGGTATCCGACCAAACTGGTGTCTCCAACACACTGGTGGATTACTACTCGGACTTGTTTGCCGCACCGGAGCTGCGTGCATCCGACGACGACTTGTCTGCGTTTCTGGGGCCATTGACGCGAGACACCCAACTGTCGGTCCAAGCTCAACAAGAACTGGCCGCTCCGCTGTTGGCGAATGAATTTTACCATGCCATCCGCCACAGCAGCTCCAATTCCGCCCCTGGCCCCAACGCGCTGCCATTTGAAGTGGTCTCTGGTCTTGGAATTGGTCTTTACGAAGCAGCTCCACGCCAGTCCGCATCTGACATCCATGCAACTTGTCAGCACACTGATATTGCTGCACAAGAAGGGCCCCAAGTCTCAAGCGAAGAACTACCGTCCAATCAGCTTGCTCAACGTGGACGTGAAGATTCTCACAAGCATTTTGGCCCACCGACTCCAACGGCATGTTCGCAACATCATCCACCACGATCAGCAAGGCTTCATCCGCCAAAGCAACATCCAGACGAACATCCAGCGCCTCGACGACATGCTGCACTACGTGAAGCAACACTCCCCATCGTCCATGGTAGCCCTCCTGGACTTTGAGAAGGCGTTCGATCGTGTGGACCACTCCTACTTGCTTCGTGAGCACTATGGATTCCCCAAAGCGTTTGTGGATATCGTACGGGTACTCTATTCTGGACGACGGACGCGAATCCTGGTCAATGGCCATTTGTCCAAGTCGGTTCGCATCCATCGCGGAGTCCTTCAAGGCGACCCATTGTCTCCATTGCTTTTTGTCATTGCTTTGGAGCCCATGTGTCAGCTTTTGCGCCAACACCCCAAGTACGGCATCCGCACTGGAGACCGCGTCCACACTGGCAGCTTCTTCGCGGATGACTCACAACTCTATGCTGTCAACGAGAAGTCTCTCCATCGTCAACTCGCACTGGTTCAGGGCTTCTGCGACAAGTCCGGCTTTCGCCTCAACGTGGACAAGACGCAAGTCTTGACGTATTGTCAGGCCTCCCCATGTCTGGCTCCCCTCCTTGTCGCCACGGACTCGCCAACGAAGGCCTTGGGCATTCTGGTGGCACCGCACTTGACCCCCAAGGCAAGGTTCAGCTATGTGTTTGACAAATTCATTGCTCGACTGTCCTTGTGGTGCTATAAGGCTCGCACCCTTGCTGGCAAGGTGGCCATCTTGCACTCCATATGTCTGCCAGTCATGTGGTATCAGTTGTCCTTTGTCCCCGCGGACAAAGCATGCGCGAAGTTGATCGACAACGCCATGCTTCAATTCCTCCATGGCGAAGACATCAACCCGTCGAACAACACGCATGGACTCCGCCTCATCAAGAAAGACCTGGTCTTCATGTCGAAGCACACGGGTGGTCTTGGCCTGCACCACGCACTGAAGCTCTGGCAACAACACAACCGCGCTGTGATGATTCGATGCGTGAAGGCGTTCGCAGTGCCGTCATCCAAGTCCGCGATCCCCTCCTGGATTACTCCTGGCTATGCTTTGCTTGAGAAAGCGTTCCATCCGTGGGGCTCTCCACGGGATCTGCTGCTGGCACAGGGTACTTCACCCTTCATGAAGCAATTCATGAAACACCCGGGCATCACTCCAATGTGGACAAGTCTGCTCTCAGAATGGTTCACGTCCCGATGGACTATGTTTGGGTTTCCGTCCAATGCCCCCTCGTGGACCGTCCCCCTGTGGCACAATGCGTTTTTGCCTGGCCTGGAAAACCTCTACGATCACTGCTCCGCGTCGTCACAGCCCCAGGCAAGAACTTTGGCGTCACTCGGACTCACACAAGTGTCCCACTTTCTGACACCGTGTCACCGACTTTGGCCGGCTTCGACCGTGTACGCCTTGATCCACCAGGCGTGTATACGCTCCAATCTCGAGCCTCCAACCAAGCATTGGATCACCATCTTGATGACTAAGTTGTCGAACCTGTTCGAAGTCGTCCCCGAAGCGAACCCTCCGCCATTCCGTTTGCCCGTCCGCCGCCCGCCGCTCTTGGAAGTCTCCTGGATTCTCCGCCCGGATCTTGTGCCCATTGAGTTGGCCGCAGCGTCCTCAACAGCGGCCAAAATCCGGGCACCTCCAGTGGCAGACTCGTCCTTGATTCCAACCAAGCACCTCGGTCTCCCCGCCGACTTTTACGCCGACCCCAAGCGCTTGAAGCAACTTGCCGTCTTCTCACGCCCCGAACACATCTTGCCTAGGTATGGCGAGTTTGTGTACAAGACGCTGCTTCGCGCCAACGCCATGCAATATCTGTTCCAATATCGCTCCCCCCAGCCCACTTGTATTTTCTGCGGTTCGAACGAGACGTACCAACACTTTTTATTCGCGTGCCGCTACGGCCTGTCGGTCTGGCACCACTTCAAGCGCATCCAACGAGCGCTGCAATGTCCGTTCCCGCGCAATGCGTTCGAGTTGTTTTTTGAGCTGCCCAAGCCCCAAGATGGTTACTACGTCCGTGGACTGTTGAAGATCTGGCCCATTGTCCGAGCCTGCGTGTACTATCAAATCTGGCTCCAACGCGCCGATCGAACGTTCCGACCCGACCTTACCCCCAAGACTCCCGTGGATACAGCGATCCATGCAGCCAACCTAATCAAGATGCACCTGCGGCTCCTACTTCGAGACTTGCCTCTCAAGAAAGGCTACTCCAAAGTGTTCAACGTTCTTCGAGCGCTGAGTGCTGACCCATGGTTGAAGCTGCATGTAATCCCTGATTCCGTCCACGCCTAGAACTCAGTCCACCCGACGGTGACAACCATATTCGAACAACTTCCCTCGCGCACTGTACCCAAAACACATATTTATACAGTACGAGGAAAATTAGTTAGTTCATTAGGGCCTTTGCTCAACTAATAAGGTAATAAAACTCAATTAACCAC